GTAGAATACGATACCTACATACCATAATAAAACATGAAATTCTATCCGAAAATAATAATCTAAAGTAAGTTGTAATGAAAATATCCGACGAGTTTTCTTTATAAAATAAAATTGAAAATATAATCTTTACTTTTTTTGTTTTAGTATTTCAATTCAAGAATCATTTATTAATGAAAATGATCTTCCTATATCATCACAACTGATATGTTTTGATTTATCAATTTTTACTATATGTGACATTCGTTCAATTGCTTATATCTTACGTTGTATGCCTAATCTTAGACATTTTAAGTTTCTTCATGGAACACGAACAATAGCTCACTCATGTGCTGATACTTTTGTCAATGGTTATACATGGCAACATATATTTGAAATGTGTACTCCATTTTTATCGAAATTTGATTTTCATATCTCGTTCGAGAAAAACTATCCAAAATTAGATTTAGATTTCGTAGTAAATTCATTTGAATATTTTGTTAAAAAATATCCAAAATGGCACATGATTATTGATCGATGGGCACCTGAGAATAGAAATACTGGTAAGTAAAATTGTTTTTAAATAAGAAGGAAAGAATACAGAAAACTTATCATTAAATAGAAATGTAATCAGTAGATGAATTTCAATCTATTCTCTTATTACAGGCAATATGCAGAAATTTAGATTAACACTCGATTAGGATAGTGCACAGTTCTCTGTTGCATCTTATATGAACGAAAGAGCTTAGAAGTTCATCTAGTCAGTAAAAAGGCAGCAAAAATGGAAAGATTTTGATTGGTGAATGTCATATATTTGATCATGTTGGAGAAAATGATTCTTTTTCTTTACGAGAAAAATATTGAAAATCTATCATAAACGTAATGTATCAATCAACTATCAGATTGATTGTGAAATTCTCGTGTCGCAGACTGTACAACTATCCATCTACCTTAAAATAGTTTTCTCTAACTTTGATAAGATGAGAAATATCAATAGCAATATACAAACAACTAATTATTTGAGAATAAAGATTCAATTCGTCTATGAGAATCTATTTATTCTGAAAGAAAGTTTGTTTTTTTAACATATAATGTTTTTTCTTATAGAAGAGATTGTTATGTTACGCACATTTGGTTATCAGAAATATAAAAGAAACGTTGATATCACTATTCCAATCATTTATTATGAAAGATTTGAGACACGATCAACAAAGGCAGCAACAAATGATCATTATCTTTATTTTACAGACACAAAATATTTAAAATTAGAAATGGGAGAGATAATACCAAAGATTAATTCTGTTCCATTATTTGAACATATCAAATATCTCGTTGTACATTATTATCCAGAATTATATGTGACATTTTTGAACCCTTCATTGGATATTGGTAAGAAGAATAAATATTTCTTTTAATTATATAGTTTAGTTGATGAAAATGAATTTCTTATTTTCAATTTATTTTAACTGAATATTTTCAATTTTTATCATACATAGATAAACAAATTCGATTATTCTTTCTGTAGTTTTTATTGATTATGTTTTTGTTTTGTTTTAGTGAATCCTATGCAACTAACGGAAGATTATGTTTCACCAGAATATATTCCTTATCTTTCACATATTGTTCACTTACTTAATGTAAATCAAATTAAGTTTGATCCATGTATTTATGTAGGTCAATGGAAAGACATTCGATTTATATTACAGTAAGTATATTTGAAATTAATCTAATGTCATTTTTATTTTATCTATTTTGATTTCTAAATCTATGAATTATTTTTGATAATTTTAATATGTTTTTCTTGATGAATTATTTCATTTTATGTCAGATAGATGATAATATTAAATTCTGTATAAGAATAATTATTGATATGAAATATAAACATATTAAATATATTTTATTATTCTGTGTTTTTCTTTTAGAGCATGTCCAAATGTGATTGATCTTGAACTTAATCCTTCAGATTTGATTTTACCAGAATTTATTGATCATCAATCTCTTTTTACAATTTTTAAACAAATTAAAATACTCAAATCAATAACAGAAAATTGTTATGTACCTTCAAATTTTCTATTAAAACTTGTTGAACGTTTTCCATCACTTACTGATATTGAACTTCAAGTGTATTCATTCGATGATTGTATATATGCTATTGATATATTAATTAGTCATCTAAAAAATTTGTCTTATCTTAATATTTATTATATTAAAGATTCAGTAGTCGATCATCCTTTTCCATGTAATTATATTATTAATAAACGTCGTCAAGCATTTAGTTTTAAGATTATTGATGAAAATAAGATTAATATCATCAAGAATAAAGAATCTGTAGAAATTAGATTATCATAATTTGATATGTATATAGATTTATTTTTGTTTAAATAAAATTGAAATGAAAATATATTTTTTTAAGTCATTTTTATTTCATTTGATAAAGATTATTTCTGCACTTTTTTGTTGTATGATTGTAATGATTAGGTGAATATCCAGGTAAATTTGATAGATTGTCTGGAATATTTTCAAAATAAAATCTTCAATAATAATTGTAAGATTTGATTATTTCCTTCTAAAATTATTTTATTCAATTATCTATATTTAAAATAATGTAAAAAGAGATTTCAATTAACTACAAATTGACAACTAGATTTTTTATTTGTCTATATCTATTTATATAATCCGTATGTATCTTGATCATGATCATTGAATTGTTTATATGTATGAAGCTTTTCAATTATCATTGATATTTGAAATTATTTCTATGTATTTTACTTATTCTTATAATTTATTGATAAAACTCATCGAGAGATTTGATTGATATAATATGCTGTATAAACTATTCATTTGAAATTTAGAAAAACTTTAATTAAATAGGTTGTTGTTCATTAATTGAACAGATTGAATAAGGTCTTTTTTGTTTACAATATTTGGTTGGTAGTTACATCTTATATAAAACATGTAAGAGAAGTCGTTGACATATTCATTTGAGAAAAGTTTTATTTTCTTAGAAAATATTGAATTGAAATCTGACAGCCATAGGTATTCTTTACATCTATTTTTCTCTTTTCTAATAACTTATTTTCGTTGAATAATAATATTTAAAATATACAAATATGATATTTCGAAATATCTATCAATCTTCAAAAGAAGTGGCATCTACATACTCTCCTCCTTCCTCTTACTATTTCGTTTTTTTCTTTAAGAATATTTTTGTTGTAGTCGATATTAATCTTCTAATACATTATTATTATGCATATATCATCTATATTTGTATAAATAATTACCAAATGTTTATTATTATACACAATTAATGATGCTCTACTAAATAGAAGTTAAATCATTTTCAGTTATTTATTTATTAACAAGTACCGTCTATTATATAAATATCTCTTTTTTGTGTACTCAAAAAGTGAGTACACTCTAGAATCGGTCATTGTGTCCGGCCGGCCGTTAACACGATAACTTTCGAAAGGAGAGTCCGACCGCGATGAAATTTTCTACACAGTTCAGTCTTAACAATATCTCGGTCGAGTTCGAAGATGAGAAGGATTGGCCGAGCCCTTCCTGAGTTATTGCAAAAATACTCATTTTTCCCCGCACCTTCCCTATGGAAAGATCGACCCATCCCCACTTTCGTAAAAGACTTTTCCTTGAATAGTCAACTAAAACCCCAACTATTATATACCATTCGATAGAGAATTTTACGAGCTACAAAATGGTATATAAAACATAAGGAAACAAGAAAGCCAACTCAGCTATTGCAAAGATAATTAAACGGAAATTAGTTCTGTTTTTATCCACGCTCTAATTGATCCACAAATAGAGCTCTATCTTTCGATCACAGAGATGATAGTTCGAGGTTTTCTGGGGTGGAGAACTCGAATCTGTGCTCTATTCGCCTCGAAATCCCATTGGTTGAACAGTAACCAATAGAAATCAAGTTATAGGAAAAACGACTTTCTTAGGGTAAACCAAGGTGAAGAGTTCAAATCTTCTCTGTATTCATCCCCAAATCCTATTGGTTGAGCAGTAGCCAATAGAAATCAAGTGTTTATAGATAAGGTTTGCCAGAATAATTTTTATATCCCCATATTCTAGAACGACTCATCTGTCTCATTCACTTTTCTTCAGTACACATAACTCTCGGATTTAAATCCGAAGTTTCCGCATTTATTATATATCTATTTTTCGTTAGATCCTAAACACTATTCAACCGATAACTTTACATTAATTGTCAGTGGAAAAAAAATGAAATTTTCACCTATAATGTAGTTTCATATAGTCTATCAAATAATAAGAAAAATTGAAGTAAAATGATAATCTCTAAAACTTTTGCAAGAAAGAGAGAGTTCATGAGAAGATCAAGAATTCATATAGTATGGATAAAAGAGCTGATGCATATACTCGATTGTTTATTTTTTATTTTTTCATTTCACTACTTTTTATGTTGAGAATAATGTTACCCGATATCAGAACTTCTGAAACAAATACAAATTCTGAACATTGTAAGAGATGTTCTATGAGCAAACCAAGGAACCGAGGCATCGATTATAATATAAATTTTTGATTTTTGATTTGTGTTTAAAAGGCGATTATCTCAGAATAGTAAATCGAAATTTTTTAGCTCATTTCAGTTTTTCATACGAAAGTTAACTTATATAAACTTTTCAGCATTATCAATAAATAAGTATAAAACATTTCATAAATGTCTGTTAAGATTATATGTCAAAAATTCAGAGAACTTTTTCATTCAACATATCAAAAGATAGAACATTAAGAGCTGAAGAAAAATGAACTATTTAAAATATTGTATATCATTTATTTATTAGGATTATATAGTTCGTTATGTACCAATTTATCATTCTATACTTTCAATTTTTGAGGCAATATTTCTGTTGTCAGTTTTCGAAATCATATTGAGTCAAACTGAATTTTTAATATATTGTGAAACTTTTTATTCTCTATAAAATCGTAAAAATATATTGAGAAAACAAGTTTATCTTTGAGATGATATAAGGCTTACACTGTTAGTAGGCAGTTAAGCAATCTCAGAGGAAACGAGTTAGGAATTTTCCAATATTCTACCATTGATGAAAATTTTTATCTTGAACAAAACAGGACTTCATTATGGTTAAAATGTCATAGACAATTCTTTTCAAAAAATAGAACAATTACATTCGATCGAAAAGTTTTTGGACAACATGATGAAAGATGAAACATGTATATAAAGGCCATTGAAAGAGCTTTTTGTTTACTATTTATATAGCTTGTCTCACCCTCTATCTATACTATAAATTTGAGATTTTTTGGTTGATCTATTGTTGTCAAAATAATTGATCTTCATAAATGTGTTTTTTTTTCTATGCTTGAACAAAAGAAAAATAACAAAGATCCATAATAAATAGCTGCACTTTGCATCTGATTTTATTGTATCTAAATATGCTTATTAGAAAAACAAAATATACTAAAAGATGCAACATGAAAAGCTCTACAATCCATAAAGTAAAGCTTGTTTTAGTTTTGTGCTTCTTTCTTTTCAGAAAAAGCAAAATTGGATGCAACCAATTTTGTATTCTAAGAAGAAAGTTATTTTTTGCTATACGAGTTATTTCTTTTCATGGCATCGAAAAGTAGTTGTATAGAAGTTCATTTTTGTGAACAGAAAAAACACACAATTAAAACAAGATTTACTTTCTAGATTGTAGAGTTTTTCATGCTGTATCTTGTGGTATACAGGGGTCGCAGCGGGGATCACAAGAAAGAAGAATTTCGAAAAGGAAATTTTTAAAAAAAGAAGGAAATCCAGAAAAAAAGAGAAAAAGAAGGATTTTTCAGAATTCCTATGTTGCAATACTGAGATTATATTAGAAGACTGTTACGTAAGAGTAAGAATGAAGTCAAATGAGATCGAATTTCAAACATCAATAATTGTCTCTTTGTCGTGTGATATGTTTGTGTGGCTATTCTGGGTGTAGGTGTGGATATATCTTCTTTCGTTTAACATCCACACACTACTCACACGCAACCGCATCCATACCTAAACCTGATACAAAAGCTCCAGAAATTTTTTCTAATTCTGCTGCTCGGCTTCAATCATGTTAGAAGTTTACACTAAACGTTCTAGTCCGTTTATTGACTCACGAAAACAATTGTTAATTTTATGGCGCACGATGTTCTTTCTATTTGTGGAAAATTTGCAACGCAATACAAAGTAGTCATTCATATTTACTCATTTTGCCAAATAATGAGACAGAATTATGACAAATAAACGAATCTAGATTAAATATGAGAAGTTAAGGTTTTCGAAGTTAAGCTAGATGATTGACTAAATTTTCGTGCTGAAAGCTGAATTCATTCTGTAAAATTTTTCTAGTTTGCTGACAGATATTTTTATTCATCTAGTATTTTGACTATCTCACTTGAATCTAAATGCTTTACTATCCCTGAATTCAAATGTACTTTTCTTGAGGTTTTCGCTTTAAACGACATTTCAAGATTGTTTTTTATGTTCTGCAACGATTTAAGTTAACTGGACAAATGTCTAATTTCTTGATCGATGTATCTGTATACAACTTGGAATACTTCTCTAGTGTTCATATCGATGTAAAGTTCAATTATGACTCATCATTTTTTCGAAAAGAAAAATTAAAGAATGTCTTTGAAACTTCAACTCGGTCATAAACTGAAAACGCATAAAGAGAGCTACATTTCAAACTGAGAGATCTTAGATCATGTCTAACATTGATTGATCAATTTTAGTTTCGTAGAAGACTGACAATCAATTGGAAATTAAATTGAAAAACATTTACATATAACACTCTATTTTCGTCCATAAGCATCATCTTATTTACAAACAAATGTTGATTGTCTTTCTTTCATTATTTATCAATAACAATACCAGTAAAAACTGAGCTTTTCTTACGTTCTACTAAGTAAAATTCTGGGCTGAACGTCAATATCAGGGAATGATTATTCACATAACTATAAGGAGAACTATAATGTGACTCAGAATCGATTATGATTAGTAATTGAGTATATGCTCCCAACTTTCAACAGTGAGAGAATTCTAGTGAAGATCTATTTAAGATGTTTCAAATTCTGCACTTTTGTATCATGTAAACTGAAGTCGTACATACATAGTTTAACACAAACGTAGATAGCTTTTTATTGAAACTTTCATGAATTAAACATCTTTTTAGATGCTCTAAGAGCTTTTTATCTAACTCTAGAATATCGTATATTTGAATATACGATAGATACTATCTCTAAAGATGATGAGATCCTATCCTTTCAAGCACACTTCATTACAGAAAAAAAAATTATCCGTTCTGTCAATGTATATACGATATACATAAAAAGTAACAAAACGAAAAATTTTTTTTTTCTACACTGAAAAATGTGCTTGAAAGAATAGAGTCTCATCATCTTTAGAGATAATTATTATCATATATTCAAATACACCATTTTCTAGAGAATTTAGTTCTGTACAAGAGAATATCATTTAAAGAGAAATATTTCAATCTAGTTTTCCAAGTGAAAAATTAGGATTAATGAAGGATCTATAGAAACGACTAATTGTAATTAACAATCAGTAGGTGTTTGATTTAATTAATTTTAAAAGTAAAGGACACAATTCGATTCAGTTTTGTTGTCTCCTCTATCGAATGATATATATTGAGTTGAGTATTTGTCAAAAACTTGAAGTTCTCTGGAAAATCTATAGTGCTGCAGGTATTTCAAGATTTGCGAAGTTTTATTAATATTTTTTCTGTTTGTAAAGTATACAAACATGTAGAGAACTCTTTTTTTCTATCGAATGAAATATTACTCAAAATGTTTTGATAACAAATAGCAGCGCTATAAAAGGAGAAATAAAAATGTCTAAATAATTTTTTTTTTACATACTGTATATCTTGAATAACATTGAATGAACTTTTTCCACAATTAACTGATTTAATTGACCAAATAATAATTGATGTGACTATTTCGTTCAAGATTAACATCAATTTTACATTGAAATTTTTCTTTTAATTTATCAAGAATTTTTATAATTTTCTGTATCAATTGTTAATTCTTCAATAATACTTAATGGATTTCCAGATAATTGTGGACTTTCTAATGATAAAGTAACTTTACGTGTTTTATTTGAAAAAATATAACCAATTGAATGTTTATGTAATATATCAGTATTTAGTTTTAATATACCAAATGAATGTATTGTTGACCAACGATGTACATCAATTTATAATTCATTTTATTAAGTAATTCAAAATCAAGAACAGATAAAACATCAAAAGCAAATGGACGTGGAATATCAAGAAGTAATTTATCAGTATCAGCAACAATATGAATTTTATTTTCTATATCAATTGTTGGTAATAATATTTTAATTCCTAAAGAGAAGAAGAAAAGTATATTTGGATATAAGAAGATCTAATTAGATCTTTTCCTACATCTATTACTAACTGTAACTATGGACAACAGACTGATCTAATTCAGAATTCTTTTGCTCGATAATTTGAGTTTTCTGTATAGGCTAACTAACTACAAGAATCAGTGTATGTCACAATATAGTCAATATGTTATTGTATAGATCATCCGAGAGAAACAGTCGTTAGTAACTTGTTCAGTCTCATTTCATGTCTAATGCTACTTAGGCTTGAACAAAATATCTCGGTAGTATATACTAAATAACTTAATTGCTCAACTATAACGATTCGACTATACAAAAAAAAACAAAAACGATTGGAATTGTTAGGAACTGATTTGGTTCTCTCGTCGAAGAATTCATGCTTGCGAAAAATACCTGTTTAACGAGTTCACATTTCAATTCAGAAGATAAAAGGAAAACTGAATAAATCGGAAAGTTATAGGATATTCAATCGTACTTATACTTACTATCGAACAAAGATGAAATCGATACAGGCAACTAATTTCTATTTTCTACTATTGAGTTTGAATCAATAGAGATAATTAATAGAAAATATTGAAACTGAAGCTAGAAATAACTAATTATTCTATTCGACTCCAAGTTTTATTAAGCTTCATTCATTACGATAGTTTTTATTATGAGAAGAAAACAGAACACTGACGGATCCACCATTTCGGCTATCCAGTGATCGTCACCTCCCTGGAAATAGAAGTGACGATGGAAATTTTTAAAATATTTGGATAACAATAGAAGATCGATAATAAAAACGGTAACTGAAGTTAGTGGAGTAACTACGAGGGAGTCTAAAGGACCTGAGTCACCTTCTCAGAATTGTTTCAGCACTTCCTAGAAATTTTGTAGTTCCCATGAAAAATAAAATTCCTTCTCATCAGAAACACTATTCTGACAAGAATGAACAAGGTACTTGACTTCATCTGATTCAATGTCTGAAATTTTTCTTTGATAAAATTAAAGAACAATATTAAGTTTTCAAATCAACAGAGGAATGAATAAACTTCTCTGATGAAAAATTTATTTACTCATATCTGATTGTGGAAAATTTTCGATTTGGTCATTTTGGTCTTAATATACTTTCATAAGAGAGATATGTAAATTTTTGTGTTAGATTCAAATTATTGATCTGATTCGGAATGAATGTATTTTCAGTAAGTATTATTTGGAATTTCTCACTATGACTTTTAGTAACAGGTCGAAGCATGGTCGTCTACATTGCCATTGTATATAGAACGATATTGAACTGGAGATATTTTTTGAAGTAATTTGTTCGTCCAAACTACTCTTGTAAATTATCTCATACAAACTACCGAAAATTCTTGTTCCATTCTTATGGTTCTCGTGCTAAAAAAAAACCAAGTTCGAATCTTCCTTCTAGAAAGTCATTTATTGAGAAATTTAAGAGATGTAAAACCGATTTCTAATGCGAGTGTGCTTCCCAAAGAAAAAAAAAATAATAGGATATCAAAAATAAATACTTTTTCTTTAAAGCAATTCGTGATTGGAATAATCAAGATTTTATTACAACGAAGTTTTACGACTATTCCGGGTAGTTCTCTACATTTTTGTTTTTTTTTCTGAACTGTAGTCAGTGGCGAAATGAATCAATATTTGATAATGTCATCTAAAATTGTCTTCATATTAGTAAAATCGAACAAAGTTCTTTGAAAAACGTTTCTCTTGAAAGTAGGCATTTGTCGTTGGAAAAAATTTTTTGATCATATTCTAATAGACTGTACGCAATGGATTGTAAAAGTCCTTGACACTGTCGTAATGAACAAAAGAGAACACTTCGGCACTCCTTGAGATCTTGATAGGCAGACCTACAAATATATTTTAAATTCGCTATCATACTGTTTATTTTATCACCGATTTTGACTATATTCTGATTCAATTTATTTTAATTTTTGACACTCTTTGGATACAAAGAGTAACGCTTCTAAGTGTTCTCTTTGGAATCACTATGCTTCTTCCATATGCACGCGACTAATTTTGAGTGGTTAGTTTTTGATTTCGATAACATATTGACAATTACTTAGATCCGAATCATTATGTGAAATTGTATTCATCGTAGCCATGGAACACGAAAAAGTGTCACTTTTATGACAAAAACATGTGAATTTGGGGAATACTCATAAGAAATTTAAAAGTGTTGAAATAAATATCTCAACTAGCTCCGTATACTTTAGATAGGTCAGACCTTTAGTACTCTTTTTTTTTGCTAAAAAAAAACGAAAAACACTCAGTACTAGCTTGGTTCACTTTTTAGAAACGTTCGGGGTTGAACCTTCAGCCTGAAATTCTGGTTACGTCGCTAAATTTAGAAAATGTCACTGCTGCTTGGAAATGCTGGATCTGACACTGAAATAGAATAAGTTATCAGTCTTTCTAGCATTTTAGTCAATTATTTCAGCTTCGTTTATATACTAATTAACTTCAAACAAACCACAAAGATTTATGTATCTCATGATCTATTGAACGCGGATTATTTGAAATAAGTAATTGTCGAACGCTTATTCCAGATTTTGATACAGCAATAATGCATAAAACAGATGTTCTAATCTTCTACTTATCCCGTACATATTCTTATAAACTGATGACTTTTTCTAGCCATTATAGAAAACCCTATCACTTCCCATTAAACAAAAAATATTGCTCGCTGAATTAAACCTTTTTTTTTATGCTTTTGAACTTCGTCAATGTTTATGATCAATAAGAAAATTGAATACATTTAATTTTATTTTAACTTGTATTTTTAAATTTTCTTCTGGTAATATTAATTGTCTTGTTTAATTAGCTGTTTTAATAGAATATTGAACATAAACAAGTTCAATTCTTTTTTGTACTAGTGGATTACATATTAATATTAAGAAATCAAGTGAACTATGTAGTGTTGCATTAATTAAATCATGTGTTCGAGTAAAATCTTTTTTTTTATACCAAATAATTTTAATGGTTCGTCAAGAATTGATGTTCATAATATAAAATATGATATAATATTGTAATTATTTTGAACATTTCCTTTATTATTTTTACATTCATAAACAAAATCATAACCGGTTGGAGATGAACTTTTATCCAATATCATTAAACAATGTAATTTAATACGCATATAATCATCATTATGTTCTAAATGTGCTTTATCACTATATGTTATATCATTAAGATGAAAATTTCCATCAATATAAAAAACTTTTTCATTTAAGTTATATAAATTTCCACGAACTAAACGCAAAACAAAAAAGGATAAGAAAAAAAAGAATTTAAACAAAAAAATTTACAATGAATTTTAAATGATCTTACTTTATCTGATGTTATTAAACCAATATCAATTGTAAGATCTTGATCACGATTTGATAAAATTTCTCTTGTTAATGTTACAACTTCTTTATTATTTGACCTATCAACAAGTTTACTTTCGAATTTAAAACGATCATTATTAATAATTAATGTATCAGATGTTTTCATTACTTTTTAACTATCATTTGAATTTATTTTACCATAAAATTTATCATTTGTTTGTGTACCTTTAACATGAAATAATTTTATTTCAGTTAAAACTTTAATATCAAAATGATTGCCAGTTTTTTTTACTGAAATACCCAAACGTATGAAAAATAAAAAACAAAAAAAAATAATTATTAATATTAAATAATTTGTTTTAATATACTAGGATAAGTTTCAATTGCACCAAATTTTTCAAAAACAACTTCATATTGTAGAGCATCTTGAGCATGAAAATGCCAATCAATACGTAATTTTTTTTATTGATGGATCTTTGCTAAGTGTTATCTATAAATAATAACAAAAACAAAAAAATATGATTAAATCTCCAAATAGAGTTAGAGATTGTCGAATCTGTTGAAAGCTTATTAGATTCGGGACTCAATCGGACGCGAGTAGAGTTTGTGTCCCACGATCTCTAAACAGAGTGCATTTTTCGATTTTCTATCTTGAGAATATAGGTTTCAATGTCTAAATGAAAAATGAAAAACAATTTACAGTGATTGGATAAGAAGGTTGACTACGAAGTTGAACAGAACAAAATGAATTAAGTTCTAAACATGCACATATACCCAATCCACAATAAATAATACTTGGTGAACATGATGGATTAATGGCAGTTGATTTTGAATTTGATACGGGTTTGAGACTTTTTGATATACATAATGAATATTGAAAACTAGAAAAATAAAACATTGAAATTAATTAACAAAAGAAAATAAAAATGTTTTAGTCAGTTGCAAGAACTGTTGATTTTTCATTAAGAAAATTAAATTTACATGTTCGTCTTTGATTAGTAGCAACAGATGAATATTCAAATAGAAGATTTGATAAAGCACCAATTTGTGTTATTTCATCAATATTTTTCAATGGTAATAATACTTTACATTGAAGTATTAATGAAAAACTCAATCTTAAAAAACAAACAAACAAACAAATTCAATACAAAAATATATGGGACACTAGAAAAGTTTTTTCGCTCGATTCTTCTCTAAAAGCTTCAGTTTCAAAAACAAGCATTCTATTATAATGCTTAAACATATTTAGGCATATATGCAAAGTTTCAGACTTGTAAGTCTTATGCTTTGTTGTAATTTATCATTTCTTCTATACTATTGCGGCAGACTAAATCAACACGATTTGTATATGAGTTTTCAATTACTTAATGTATTGTATTAAAAAAACAAAATATCCTCCAAGATGTGTCATGAAAAGCTCTACAATTTACATAAGATCGCTTTATTTTTTATAGTTACATCATAGGCGATGAAACGTTTTGAATATAGGGTAGACTCAACAGTTTTTATAAGACCCTTACCAACAGGTTAAATATAGAGAGGATAATTTTTTTTCTGCTATACTATTCAAATAAAACACAATTAATATTGCTTATTTCCAACTCAAATTTTTTAATTCTTATAGCATTAGTTCAGATCAGAGATGGATTTACAACTTATGGCAAAACAGCTAGTATTCAAATAGCCAGTTAAACTTTTGTCTTGATTGAATAATGACCTTCAGATATAGTTTATTGGATGCAAAAATTTTTGAATCGAAATTTGGAATGGTAGTAACGTATTCAAGTGTGTAAGCTGGATTACATAGTCGACTATATAACTAGCATAAACTATATCTGAGGATTCTCCACAGTGGGTATGAGGTGTAGGTGTAAGGTAGAACAAGATCAACCCACTCAGGCACATACTTACACCGACACCGACATCCACGCCACAAAGTATTCCTAATATCCAAATTCACGTTTAAGTCAATGGGATATGATTGGCATCTAAGCCTGCTCGCATTGCCTTATTTCTTGCTTACTGTTCCATTATTTGCATTTGCTTTCCAACAGACGGTTTGACTCATGAAATTTCTTTGCACTATGACTGGAAGAAGGTAATATAAACAAATATGTAGAAATGATATCACATTTTCTTGCGATTAAAAGAGAATAACTAGCTTTTGCTCAGATGTGCTCAGATAATGGAGCGACTAGCCGTTAGTGCCGCTCTGAAGGGCGCCCGACGAACGACTAGTCACTCCTATTGCAGGCTCAGTGTTGATTCGCCCCACAGATGATCATTTATAAATGCTTGATTTTTTTGGAGAATACTCCACTAAGATTCTCTTAGCGAAGAATTTAAGTGAACCTCTGATTGGCGAGCGAGGCAAATTCTCGTGTTATAACTGTAACGACTTTTTGGAACTAAGTGAAATCTAGAATCTGATAGGGTTTAAATCAAAGAGAATGGTTTTATGCCAGAATAGAATTCAGTATAGTAGTGGCTAGCCGCGAATGGTGCTGCAAAGGAACACCGACGCGTGATTAGCTGCTACTCAGTGAGATTCTCTAAAGATATACTCCAGATTGTTGTAATCCATCGAAAAAATGTCTACAGTGAAGATCTGACAGGTTCAATAGAAACCAGAACTAGCAAAAAAGACTAAGAAATGTTTTCGAATGAAATGTGAGAACAGTTGTGCTGCACGTGCACAATATATGAATGAAACATTTGACAGAAACATCATGCAAAGAATTCAGTTCTGTCCATGCAAAGTAGATTTCCATGAAACAAAATAGCTTTTCTGTCATTATGTATCCATGTCTATGTGCATTTACTCGTCTAAATTTATTCGAGTACTTCGAAATTATCTGTCTAATCCGGTGACTATTTTAAGTGCTAGCGTCATTCGAGTGGCGTATTCTGAGAATAAGTCTGATCAAATATAATTTATTGTAATCTAGAAGTTTAGCTATACACGTGTTTTTGTAGCGGACACTAGCAAATGATATTGTCGGTTAATGTGCTGGTAACTATACAGATTTTTATTTGTTTTCAAGAAGTATGATGAGTTTTCACGCTAGTGTCCTGGGTATTCTTTTTTTTTATTGTCTCTCTCTCTATATTAAATGCAAACCCTTTTCTCGGAGCATATGGATACTGCTGCCTTAGTGTTATTCATCTAGATTTCCGTTGGATATCATTCAATGTGTTTCTGTTTCGTTGGATCAGTTTATAAGAAAACGTATTTCAGACACACGCATGTCAATGTACACAAAGACATTGATGCGAATGTCAATATTCGCATTCACATGCACCCTTTTCAAACTTTTGATACGCGCCCTGTTGAGGACTGCGAAGCAGTACACAATACCGAACCAGCTGAATACTCAGTCGAGGGTCAAGCGAGTCACATAGACGAGCGTTACTTGTTCAATATCTTCCAGAATTCTTTTATCAACTCTATCAGCTAAAATATAAAAATAATAAATAATTATCATAGATTCTCTTGTAGTTTCATCAATAACATCTCGATCTCCTCGTCGAATCGAAGAAGTAGAATATTTTGTTCTATACTATTATCGAATATTGTCTTCTAACTTTTCTTTATTTCTATTGTGAATTGAAATAACGATATGTCTTTCCAATGTGTCATGCTTATGCAAGATCCAACATTTTCTCTAATAGTTTACAGTAAAAAGAAAAATATACCAGTTACTATTGTAGCTTGATAAGAGTCGAATATCCAACGATGCATAGAATATATCTTATAGAAGCATTTTACTTTAACTTTTTCTCTATTGTTATCCGTACAGGATTTCAGTAAAACTAATTTCATAAGTTCGATATTTATTACCGATAAATTATCCAAGAATAGTATAGAGAAGTATGACGCCTAGGTTCGAACATATTAACACTGAGGTAGGTGAAGATTCGTCTAGATATGATATGGGATCATCTTGTTCATGTCTAGACTCTACCGCATTTTCGATTATAAAATATATCTGTATTGATTATTACTTGAACACGATAATAAGCAATAGTTTTAATGAGAAGATTTGATGGTATTGTTTCTATAGTTCGATTGTTGTTGAAGAGATAAATTTGGATAATAAAAATGACGATTAGCTAGAGGTTCCGTATGTTTAAAATGAAGAGTTTCAACTATTGTTTTTCCATTTAATTTTTTTGGACGACGTCGAAATAAAAGATACGAAATTGATTGAATATTATCTTTTGATTGTTCTATAGATAAAAAACTAATCTTCTTAATACGTAAATAATAATAAATTGCTCCTTCGAATTTATCAATGATAGTTTTATTAATTTTATGAAAATCTTTATTTAAGATTGATTCTACACCATTTTATTTGTTAAGTTGATGAAATTCTTTTATAGTAAATGATAGTTGGATAGGTCGACGTCGATCAACAAGTATTATATGTCCTATTCGAGTTTGACGAAATCTATCAAGTAATATATTAGTAATATCTATTTTAGCTAAATAATCAATAGTTGTAAGAAGCATTCGAGCACAATCAAGTAGGAGATTTCCGATTCCTATAAAAATAGCTCGATCTCTATGATAAAGTTGTGGTCGAAGTTGACCATTTTCTGGTAACGTTCAACAGATGAACCATAATCAAGAAGAATAATATGATAAAATTCTTCTAATTATTTTAATTCAATCGTTTTACCAATATGAATATTAACAATAAAACGTACACGTTCATGTTCAGCTATTTTTCAAAATGTATTTTTAACATTTTTTATTTTAGGATAATCAGATAGAACATCATATCGAACAAGAGCAAATGGTAGAGGGCATTTTTCAATTATATCAATTATTGTTCGTTTTGTTTTATTGAGCTTAAGGAAATTTTGTCTTAAATAAAAATCAGGTGGACCACTGACAATAATAGAAATACGTATGGGTGATGAAGGTATTGTAGAATTGTTGGGAACTATTGAAAGTGATCGTCGAATAAGTAAGATATAAAATAACGTCCGATAAGATGAGTAAATATTGACAAGATATTAAATATACTTATAAAATAAAATATCGAGAAGAATTTTTATAAAAATTTTTCATGACTCAACTTATAAATCTTTGTTAAGGGACTCCAGTTACGGTTTTTTCGGAAACGGTAAGATGAACAATGATGAAACATTCAAGGTAGATAAAACTTAATAAGTGGAATAAATATTCCCATAGAGATATAAAGGTTGAAAAGGCCAAAAATAATCACAACGTTCCTTTTCCACCCGCAAAACTCTATAAGTCTTTTTTTCGAGGTACAACTTTTTTATGATAACAAGGATCAAATCGAGATAGGTTTTGTTTTCAATGGTATTCAGTTTTTAGAGGCTGCTCAATTTCATAGGAAGAAGATTTTGAAGAAAAGAAAAAGCATGCATCACAATTCGACCAAAAAACAAGGAGGAAAATCTATTTTTTTTCAAAAATTGATTTTGAGAAAAATCCAACACAAAATTGAGAAAAAAATCTAATTTCGAAATGTTCCTAGTTATATTATTCAATATTATAATTCTAAGAAGAATTAATACAAACTCTATAAACTGTCAAGAGATAAAATCATTATTTTTCATTCCTTCTATAACATAAATTTGTCTCTAACTTCTAAAATAAATTCTAACTAGAAAATAGTATTTTATATTTAATTATTCTCGACGATTTATATCAAATAAAAAGTTAAAACATTGAAATTTCATTCTTTTATTATTCTTCAATCTTATTTAACTTTGATCATATCTTTAAACTAGATTGGTAGAAGATTAGTATCGTCGACCATGAATTCCTCTTGTTTGATTATTCGTTGTTGAAGGACGTATTACAGATTGTGTCCTTCTTACAGATGATATTCATCGTCGAAAACGTTGAGTATTTGTTAA